GACTAAAGCCATTGAGTAGTCGCTAGTTGACAGAGGCTCCAGGACCTGAATTTTATCTACACGTTGCTTCCAACTAGTTACTGATAGGTCCAAGCACGATGGAGCGGAATGCGGTGTAACGCGCGTCGGATGGCAGACGTCTTGTGCTGCCCCACTCTCAAATATCATCTCCGCAACTTGTGCCTCGATTTCACAGTGCTCGGAGAGAAGTTGAGCCTCGGGTCACAGTGTTCGAGGGAAGTTATGTTCGCCCTTAAGCAGGAAGCGGGGCTGACTTATGTAGCTTCTGAAATGTGGCAACGAACCCAGACTTGGACTTCTCGGGCTGCGATAAGCTGCATCTACAAACAATTCATTCTGTCTCAGGCTAATCGTGCACCATAACTGCTCGCACAGGCCATCTTCGCTTCGGTATATCTTGACTAGTCTTCCGCACAGCAAAGACCGAATGTATACCATCACGCCACCAAGTTTACACGTAATGCATGAACTAGCACTCAGAAAGCCCTACTGAGATCGTCAGTTAATTTTCGTGACTAAGAAGTTGATATTTGTGGCTTTTATATGTCGATCCATCATTTTCTGATAGGATTGATGTATGATGTATTGCGCGATGATTCTTTGTTTTTAACACGGATCCTGATTCATGTCGCGATATAACAATGGCTTCTTTTCACTGTGTGGTGCCAGAGCTCATGCATATAGGGGACATTATAGCAACAAGAGTATGTCGACACTACCGAGTTTGCTAAGTACAGGAGGTACATTATCTGTTCCTCCGAAATATGGTATTTTTGTGCATTTTATAAGCTTATGTATGTCACGGAGTCCAAACTTTACATGGGTGAGTTGATCAACTGTGGATGGTGGTGTGTTCAATCCTGGAGGATTACTATCCGCGTTAAAGGAGGCGCAGAAGTACTAAATGAATATTTCACTGGTATGGGAAGGGTCAGTTATCTGCTGCAACCAGTAGGATTGTGTCTTGACACCCTTTGGTATTGCTGTTCTTTAAACACTCTTTACTTCACGTTTTTCTACTGGCTGCAGATGGTTCGTTTTTCTTCAGATGTTTGATGTGACATGCCAGCTGTAGAGCTGTGGGCTACTTTTGGTGTTGTACGAAGGAAGGAGAAGTCATTTGTTTTACGATATGCTTTACGGTATGTTTCACCTATGGCTGTTTTATGTGACATATGCGTTCCTACGAGGAACGTGTCGATGGCGACATCATACCTAATGCATAGGGCATCGGTTACCGATGTAGCAAAATTAAATGAAGCCATATATGGTTAGTGAGGGAATGTATGTGTGAATCAGGTACAAAGCACTGACCAATGGTGTGAGCGTACAGAGAATTGAACAATTACTAAACTAAGTACGTGGGAGGGGGTATGAGAGTGACCATATTATCCGGGCCTTTTGAGGACATGGTTCGGTGCACCAGCGGTCCTCGCAGCCACGATGTACGTTCATTTGTATGATCGGAGAGGTACTGCCCAAGTATCAACCGATAGTAAGTTTTTCAGATGACTTTTCCAATCATGGAGGACTCCGCTACAACATATATTGATGTTGTTGTAGAGAACATCTGCTACAGCTTGTGGGTCTCCAGTAATGAAAACTGCCCCACTGAGTAAACCTCAGTAAACAGACCCCAGTCAATAGCTCTATATTTCCTGTTATGTATCCGTAATTTGGGCACAGCCGCAGTTTAGTATCGTGGGGGATTATTGAATGAAAATCATACCACTCTGTGATCCCTACTAGGAATGAGCTCTAGAACATCGGCGGATGATTATTAGAGCCAAGATATGATTCTTTCTGGTTGGTGATCTGACATGTTTGATCCATCCGTGTGAATGTAGAGAAGAGATCAGATTCGTGTATTTGGTATGTATATGGCTTGAGGTCCAGGCTAAATCCGGCATGTTTAAATCCCCACTTGACCGGTTGGTCCGCTATATGACGGAACATATCTTATACTGCGTTAATTTATGTGACATTGGAATTTGGGTGTATTTATATACATCCGAGGAGTAACATTTGGCCATCAACTTGATCATTTACTAAGACGGAGTCGTCAAAGCAGTTATTCGAGGAAACCGGCACTTTGATGTACACAATGGCATTGTGCACATATGTGGCGCAACCGCCTCCTAGCTTTGACAGCCACTCAAGGTCTTATGTGGTAGCTATACTCAGGAATATCTTACACTAGCCACGTTTCTGTCACAAGTATGATTTGTGCATCAGGATGTGAGATAGGTGAGCGAAGGAAATGGATTTTGTTTTTAATAGAGCGTGCATTGAATAGCAGAATGCTCCTGGCCATCGGTTGACTGGGCAAGTCCATTATTTATTGGAACACTACAAGGCTACCCACTGATGACGATGTTGTACCTGCCTTGTTTGACGGGAGTCCGGCGAAATCGGGTTCGGGATTATCGAAAGTATCCGGACACATATTTCTAGGCATGGAGATAGCGATGACGCCATCATGTCTTTTGCAGGCATCGGTCGTTCTATTGGTTTATTCATCGACTGGTGACAGTATTGTGTTTGCAGTAATTCGTTTTCTCACATGTGGATGTGCCTTGTTTTGCACTTCCGGTAATCGGGCTCTTCACAAAGGCTAGTTTTTCATTCTGGTGAGGATCTTATGTGTAGGACTTACGTTCCGGTGCAATCACTGGTCGGAGCATTTATGCTAGCCTTTTTGTTCATCGATGTTATGATGTGATCAGGAGCAAAAGCACTCTAAGTCACCACCACAGTGTGTGGTTCCTAAGGTCTAGGTAGACAGCTTGTGGCGCCATTAGTCTAGTCCGCTTTCCTTGTCTTTATTCTCAATTCCGGATTGCATTGTTTCTCTGCTTTTGGCGTTGGTGTTGCGGACACAAGGAAAGACCTTTGTAGGGTTTCAAATCATGTTTAATCACTGCATCTTTGAACTGAGTGTGTTGAGCTATGGCGATTCGACACAGCGCGAATCTGTCTGCCGATCTCATAAACAGGCACCTTTGTGGGTCTTTTCCGACTCAAACGGACCATGAGGAACTTACCGTAGCGCACACGAACATCTACCAACGAGCATGAGGTAATCGGGTCCGTCATGTTCATCTCTTTTTAACTGTCTAACTAACTCAAATTCCCCATATGTTCACTGATAGGACACTCCCGTCAGAAACTTGTAATGCATTCTTCGATCGGAAGACAGCATCGTTATACCGACTACTGTCGTGTTGGTTTCGAGCTCTTGACGGATTGCTCGACTTGCGGCGGGGACTAGGCTGCCGCACTCAATGATGGTTGCTTCAAAGGTACGATAGAGAATAAAACGTTACTTGTCGGCAACTAATGACAGACGGAACGAAACTATGACGTCCAGTTTGGGCTGAAAACTTATGCGTACTTGGTATGGTTTTCTTTCACGATATTTGACGAACCGTTGTATCCCAATACCAGTCGAAGATCAGTATTTGCAATAGCTACACACTGAGCTCGGTGCACTCTGGCGGGGATGATGGTGTTGCAAACCGTCACTAATATCCTAGTGGTCCGAACAGTGCGCGAACGTGGTGAACTTCTGCACTAATTGTTAATTCCATCTCAGATCAAATCTTCCATGGGGACTACTCGGATCCATTGTGGTGTCCTGTCCGAATCAATTCATAGCGGTCTGCATGATGAAACTCTTGCGAGATTCATCAAGCAGTAACCGCTATGTTTTGTTCATTGCCAAACAGTGAGATATTGCTCCTACGCTATGTTTTTCGATGCGACCTTAGCGGCCTGTTCTATCTTTCAGAATGGAATCAGGAGCTGTTATACTCTGAAGCAGCTGAACACCAACCACGGATCATTTTTTGTGAGCTTAATTGTGTCTGGGATGTGTCAGACCTAGGTATTCATAAGATGCTCCAACAGCTATATCCCCTGGGGAGATGAGACGACAAAACGTGCTACTCGTTCTTCAAAGGCTCTGTTGAAAAGGTTTCACGCACTAGTACAGGAATATGGTCTTGCACCTCATTACTATCCTCTGACCTATCGGTCGATCGTTCACATCTCTTTTGGTCACTCGGGAACCAATATAGTTGCCCCTATATCCGAATTTATCACGACCAGCTCCGGACACATTATTTATGACGAACTACACTCCCACTTATCAAGTGATTTACTTCATGTGCGCCAGTTAGCTTGGGATTCTCTAGCGAATGCCCAAATGCATCAGGAGGACAACTATGAGCACCGAATTCAAGGTGCACTTGTGCAGCTAGGACTAGAACATCTAAACTACTCCATATCACCTTTGGTTTGTCTGTGAACTTGCATAAAGTGTGGTCCGGCTCCTTTGTGCTGTTTGGTGTCTACGCTGAACCCATGCGGTTTCTTATGAATTTCAACCTATGGTTGTCATTTGTTTAAAAACCAAGCAGTGTATTCCCACACTTCCGCTTGTTTCATACATCCGTACACCGAATGCTCCGTAATCCACATTACTTTAGATACACCAGTGCTCCTTATCACTATGTTTGCTGCCGTCTTTTTAAGCGTGGTGCAGTGTTTGCTTGTGTCAACTCTTCGGGTCAACTATGTCATCATTCAGATCATCGCCAGTCTCGCCTCTGTCATCATCACCCTCTCCCCTTGCATCATTTGTCTTAGATTTGTACTCCTTTCGTCTACCCTGATACGATGTTTTTTACTTATCTCATATTCCCTGTTTCTATTCATTCGCGTTACTTAGCCTACCTGCGTTGCGGTCCCATGCAGGGGTATACACTATGTCCTTTCCAGGCCACTAAAATCACCCCACCTCGCACTTCGACCACTGTACACTGTAGCACTATTATACCGGAACGATTGAATTGTAGTTTCTGTTACGAACCTTGGTTCCTTGGTATTTTCATGTTAGATCCGGTTTTGTATCAATACTAAATTTCTAATCTTATGATCGGGTGCATTTCACATTTTCTCTACTTTCACATTTCGCAGTCCCTGGCTTTGTAATCTTTTCCCACCAACCACACTGGCGCCATTTCCGTTGAACTAAACTATGGATCGTATTAAACGAGCCTTTTCAACTCAGGAAGACACAGAACAAATTATAGACCCTGCAGTAAATGCGATTTATTCCTACACCTCAGATTCAGATTGGTTGCTCCTTAAGTTGGGGCGCTCGGATCAAAGGCTTCCTAATATGTTTCCTTCTCGGAATCTTGTTGTCGCTTCTGGTTAGTTCTTGGATTTTTATAATTTTGTTAGGGTTCCATGTTATTATGGTTGCCTTTCAAGGGTATAATCTTATTCGCATTGTTTTACTCTCTCGGCAACCTCTTTTCCATCGCTAGGCAAGTGAGTTTCTTTTAACTGATGCTTTTCAGCACGTGTTTTCTTATGGGTCCAGTCAAGCAGTTCCAAAAGATGTTTGAGGAAACTAGAGTTTTTGCTGCTGTCATTATGCTTGTGAGTTGATACCTGCAATTTGCTTTTATCATTGCAGGCCTGCCTGCTCGTCACCGTCATCGCTGCTGTCAAGGTGATTGGATCTCATTAGCGTCACCACGATCTTTCAGGGTTACAAGTTGCTTTGTCTTATTTTCTGTATCTTACAATCACTTTCCCTAACATGGTACTCACTTTCATACATTCCCTTCGCGAGGTGAGTGTTCTGCAACCATTTCTGATTCTCTTCGACCTTGTTTCATCGAAATCCCGAGGTTTTCGGTCTCGTTGCTTTTTACGGTGTTACCTCGCTTCATTTCACCTACTTCATTTATAGCAATGACTTGTTCGACTCTTCTAGATCACCGCCTTATCGGCATTCATAAGCTTTAGACAGCTTTGGGCTACTGGTTTCACGGACCAGTTCACTTCGGTTTGTCTACTTTGATGCGTACCTGGAGGTGCGGTGGATCCAGATGCCCTGATGCAAACCACCAACTAACGATGCTAATAATGGCAAGAATACTGTTAACTCAGGAAGGGTGAACAAAAGTACAAATACTCAAATCAACTGATCCGAGGTCCGAACTAAAACACGAATGTAACAGCTCCACTAACTTTGTCATTACCATGCACTCGACGAAGTATCAAATCACTGATGTGTCTTGTCCTAGGGACTTTATCCAGTACGTAGACACGCACCAACGTCAAACGTCCTTTCACTGGATTTCTTCATGTCTCTGGGCAACTATAGCTCCCTTGGTGTCGATATCATTCGCTCAGTAGCACTGACTGTAGCATCAAGTCAACTGGCGGTATCTTTGGCTCTGTTCTTTCAGCACTGCTTAGGTAGTACCAGGTTCCTGTTATGTCGAAGCTTTGAGTAATAACTCTGATTCACAAAGACGCAAGAGGGTCCAAGCCTTCAACCTACCTCCCAGTGCTTCTTCCTGTATTGCCCAAGTAACAATGAATTTATACGGGTTAAGAAACACTGCTTTACAAGTCCCGTTGGGTAGGTTGGTGGGATTATCGGAATATAATAATAAAACGGTAAATACTTTGAGTATGAAAAAAGACCTATCATTTATTCCGCTGTAGTTTCATAGCACCTACAAGTAACAGCAAATAAATCCAAGGTCTATTCCAGGGGTGCGATAGAGACATAGTATATATATATATATATATATATATATATATATATATTCGCAGCAATCTATATCATAGACATCGAGCCATTCGAAGTCATGAAATTCAGCATAGAGAGTAATAGAGTGTACAAAACATGTAAAAGAATTTGAAAATGAATAAAAAAACAGACAATTTTTTGTTTCAAACCGCCATTTTCTAATATTTTTGCGGTTTTTATCAGTTTTTGACTTTGTAAACATGAGGTCAGGCAGACTTCTGCGCACTGCTTCCACTGCGCCCAGTTTCGCGCCATTATTTACAGCGTTTTGATGCATTGGCATTCTTCATCTTTATGTCCCCAGCCGGCGAGTCGTACGGAGCCATCGATGGCCAGGCAGGATGTCATTGATTTCATGCACTGTCGCCAGTTGGATGGCTGACGTTTTCGCGGCCTTTTCCAAATTAACCCTGCGTTTGCAAACAGGGCGCGGCGTGATAAACGCTCGTTAGGCATGCGCAAGACGTGGCCAAACTATCTCAATTGACGCAACCGAACGACATCACAAAGCGGAACATCCGCCTTACCCAAGACGCACTGTCTAACATCATCACTACACACTCGTTGTTGCCAACGCACGCGGGCAGCCCCACAAAAAGCTACTGTCAAAGGCCGAAGGACTAAGCATGTCTTGTTAGTGACGGTGCAGAGCCGACCGATTCTGGAAGAACCTTCCACGAGTGACATGGTTGGCGGCATCCGGTTTCGGATTTACCTGTCACTGTGGCCAGCCACAGGACGCCTGCGCCTACAGAGGGACCATGGATGGCTTGCACTGCACGACCCACAGCTCCAACCACACACCCCATATCCAGTGTAAACCCGAAGGAATAAGACCGGGAGGCATGCGGATGGGAGCCACGTTTCATCAACGGAGCCGGCCCACACTCCTTCACAGGCAAACACAAGCACGCTGTATTTGGGGAATCAAGCGCACACAAGACGGTGGCTGGACCGTAGTCCGCTCCACACTGAGTGCATGGAACCGCTCTTTGAGTCTAGCACGGCCACAGGGGCCGTGCAGCCCGTCCCCTCCAGCAACGACTAACTGTCTCTTGGAGCCAGTATGAACGAGGTAGTGGGTGATAGACAGGTAGGCACCTTGTCAACATGCACATCAAGCGCAGCCACACCGGGGATCTCAAGCAACAGCCATTCACTTTAAACGACAAGCTGAAATAAAATAAATCTAATAATGCGTACAGATACGGTGGCATAACTTTTCCCTGAATTTCCATATGAAGTATGTTGGTTAGCAACGAATCCGCGATGAGTAAGAAATGTCCACAAGTGACTCAAAAATGCTACAACCGCAACAAAGTTACCGAAGCTAGGCGCAATTAGTGTAAGCAACGTGGTCAGTTAATAGAACATTATTCAGATAGGCAGAAGAAACCAAATAAAGTGGAATGAAATTTATCCAGCTTAAAAAGACCTAGTTTAAGTGTAAGTTGGTTTAGCCCAATTGCGGTGAAGAAGCATCAAGAATGCAACATTTACCTCAGCATGGAGCACGACGAGTGACATGCACGATTGGAAAAACAATTTCTGCGACACTCCAGACGGTTATACTGTTCTGCGAGTTTCGTTGAGTGACCTCTCAGGTTGGTGTTGCTGCTGAGTTGCATTATGGGGTGACACACATGATGTGGGTCATGAAGAATCAAGTAGGCTATTATCACATCGCCTCGTAATCTGCGATATCGTCGGCGGAATACCCCAATCGTCTCAGCCTCTGTTCGTATGGGAGATTGCGCATCCCAATGACATATATGGATGCCAGACATTCAGGCTGCTCCAGTGCTTGAAAGATGCAAGGTTTGAATTACGTATTCGATATAGGGGCGAACATACGCACTGATCCTCCGTTGAAAAATTGACGTCTGTTTGTCCACACGCTCGCAGCGACAGCCCGACTTGTTGCTTTCCAACCTTCGAGGCCTTTTCGGATTGCCTGGAGTAACCTAAGTCATTTTGAACCAGTACACCCAGATCACGTTAGACAGTCGATTGCTGCAGTACATGCGTTCCGAGCCTGTATGAGTAGTTGTTTTGGTGTCGTATGAAGAGTAGTTCGCATGTACTCACGTTGAAAAGCAGTGAATCTTCGTTTGACCACCGATGTACTTTGTCGAGGTCACTCTAAAGCAGGTATTGATAAGCATTCACCTGAATTTCACGCCAAATCTTGCTTTTGTCGGTAAACTCTAGGAGGTTTGAAGCGATTGCCTGTGTGAGGTCGATGCTAAACAATTCTAACAATCGTGGGTCTAGAACTGAGCCTTGCAACACACCACACTCGACTTGTATGGTGTCAGATAAAGAGCTTCGAACTCTGACCGCTAATTATCGTTGAAGGAGAAAGTTTGCGACCCAACTTAGAAGAGCGTCACCGATCCTGCGATACTAGAGCTCAGAAAGGAGTATCCCATGATCTAGACGATCGAATGCCTTCGCAAAACCTAGGTAGATCACATCAACGTCTTTTCAAGCGTCATCTGACTCGGTCCAACTACTCCATGTGCACGATCGCTATAGATGCACTGTTCGGAAGTAATAATGTTACAGGTTTCCAGGTAACGCTCCATCGTATCAACTTCGATGAATTCTGTGACCTTGGACACTATAGGGAGAAGAGTTACTGGACAGTGCTTTGAAGGTTCCGTTCTGTTTCCGATTTTGTGAACCGGAGTTATTATTCCAAACTTGCACTTAAAAGAAACCTTGTTCTGGTCTAAGCAGCGCTGGAAAAGCTGAGCCAAAAGTTTTACTGGTTGTGTTGCTGCTGCTCCCAGTGTCACCAAATGAGTGATATCGACTCCCGGGGAACTGTAGTTGCACAGAGATGTCAGCCTCTGCAATACAGCTTCAACGATAAAGGCGATGTTAGTGAGTCCTGGGGGCGGGATGTCAAAGACCGGAAGATTACTTGATGGTGAGCCCCCCATGAAACCCGGGGGTATATTGCATCCACAGCGTGTTTGCTGCTTCTTTAACTGTTCTTATTGGGCCATCTGCCGTTCTGAGTGGAGGAAATTCTTACCTTACCTTCTGTAGGCTACTGATGTGCTTGCACAGCAGGTTATGGTTAGCGCTGACGGTTTTCGCCATACCCTGCTGACATGCGGCTTTGTCTTCTCTGAAAAACTGTGTGCAGTGGTTACGTTGGGTTACGAAGTTGTCCCAAGTATCTGGCGTTGGAGATAGCATATACGCTCGCCATGCTGCGTTGCGTACTACCATCCATTTTCGAGTTCTGCTCCTTACGAACGGGTCAAAGTTTAGCAATAATGGAACTAACGCTCAGTGGCTGGTTCGTAGCCGAAGTATCACAAAACAAAACTTGTCAGGCAAATGGAAGGCAAAACTATTCTAACCAGCATGTTGTACAACACAAATCCAGTATTCTAAATTATTCCGATCCATGATAGGGTTAGTGGGTTAATAACAATCAACAGGTGCAGGAAAAGAATAGGAAGGGCTCGGTACATTGGCCTTGAGGATGCCACAGGAAGAAACTGATTTAAACCCGTTGCGAACTCTTGTCTCTGAGGCACCTCTAACCAGCTGACTGAATTTGTTGACGTACTAGAGCTAGACTACTTCTGGGTGTTCTTCAGCAAGGAACAACCAGCAGTGGAGCAATGGTTTATGACTGGTACAAAAGCGAATGCTTGACATATCTCATAGGATGCTTTGAGTGAAAATCCGTGTCGGTAAAAAAGCGTGTTAGGTACATGACACAACTAGAAGTTTAACCTAGCACATGTGCGAGTATTTCTGCCTGGATTTTAGGTGGGTTATGATGCCGTCCGCTGTTTGTTGTGCAATGATACCATCATCTGATGGTCACGAACTATATCACGTAGTCTACATGTGTCAGAGTATCGTCAATACGTTTTTTAATAGGGTTAAGGTGGGGGCAATAATTACATGCGCCGGGAGGGCGTTCCCACGCTGTGACACCCATAGGGAGAAAAAGTTTCGTCGACATTCCAATCGGCTTTACTGCGTGACCGGCTTAAACT